CGACCCATTCCTGCTAGAGAAATCTTAGCACTCGACCCGTTCCTGCTAGAGAAATCTTAGCACTCGACCCGTTCCTGCTAGAGCAATCTTAGCACTCAATCCGTTCCTGCTAGAGAAATCTTAGCACACGACCCGTTCCTGATAAAGAAATCTTAGCACTCAACCCGTTCCTGCTAGAGCAATCTTAGCACACGACCCGCTCCTGCTAAAGAAATCTAAGCACACGACCCTTTTCTGCTAGAGAAATCTTAGCACACGACCCGATCCTGCTAGAGAAATCTAAGCAGACGACCCGTTCCTGCTAGAGCAATCTTAGCACACGACCCGTTCCTGCTACAGAAATCTTAGCACACGACCCATTCCTGCTAGAGAAATCTTAGCACTCGACCCGTTCCTGCTAGAGAAATCTTAGCACTCGACCCGTTCCTGCTAGAGAAATCTTAGCACTCGACCCGTTCCTGCTAGAGAAATCATAGCACACGACCTAATCCTGCTAGAGCAATATTAGCACACGACCCGTTCCTGCTAGATAAATCTTAGCACACGACCCGTTCCGGCTAGAGAAATCTTAGCACACGACCCGTTCCTGCTAGAGAAATCTTAGCACTCGACCCGTTCCTGCTAGAGAAATCTTAGCACTCGACCCGTTCCGGCTAGAGAAATCTTAGCACACGACCCGTTCCTGCTAGAGAAATCTTAGCACTCGACCCGTTCCTGCTAGAGAAATCGTAGCACTAGACCCGTTCCTGCTAGAGAAATCTTAGCACTCGACCCGTTCCTGCTAGAGAAATCTTAGCACTCGACCCGTTCCTGCTAGAGAAATCTTAGCACTCTACCCGTTCCTGCATAAGAAATCTTAGCACACGACCCTTTCCTGCTAGAGAAATCTTAGCACACGACCTAATGCTGCTAGAGTAATCTTAGCACACGACCCGTTCCTGCTAAAGAAATCTTAGCACACGACCTAATCCTGCTAGAGCAATCTTAGCACACGACCCGTTCCTGCTAGACAAATCTTAGCACACGACCCGTTCCGGCTAGAGAAATATTAGCACACGACCCGTTCCTGCTAGAGAAATCTTAGCACTCGACCCGTTCCTGCTAGAGAAATCTTAGCACTCGACCCGTTCCTGCTAGAGAAATCTTAGCACTCTACCCGTTCCTGCTAGAGTAATCTTAGCATAATCATAGATCCTGTTAGTTGGAAGTTTAGCACTAATTCAGACATCCTACTAGTTCCTTATCCACAACCTTTCCTTTGTGGCTGTGATGACAGAGGCTGTTTGAAAACAAATAAATTGGTGTGCCACGAATCTGAGCCATTCCTTTGCTTCCCGTTGTTTCGACCCCTGGAACAGATACCCAGCAAGCACTGAGCTATCCCGGACCTCACTTGAGAGAGAGAGAACGTCACAATACCTAAACATATTAACAGATTAACTGTAGTATCAAAAATATTTTAAGTATTGCGTCTATTGCAACTGTCAGCTACTCTTTGACCCCTTGAAAACTCTCAATATCAACAAGCGCAGATAGCTCAGAGGTAAAGTAAGAGCATTGACTATATATACCTAGTCAATGGTAAGAGGCTCACAACACAAAGGTATCAATCAGGTTCAAGACCCATCCGGGCAGAAAAAATTTGTTCTAGTTTTTTTTATCAAATTTTTTTAATGAACTATATAATCAATTTACTCAACTAATAATTATACTTTTCATACTAAATCTATATTACTTAAAATATTTAAATCCTTTTTTTAAATAATATTTTGTAATAACATTTATAAAATATTAAAACTAAGTATTTTATTAAAATATTTTTAGGATACATTGGGGGTGGAATATGATGCATTCTAAAAATATACTTTAAAGATAAAAAAAATATTTTTAAAACATCCTGTGTTGTCTGGGGATGAGCGAATTGGCCACTTTGGCTTTCTCAAATCAGTGAGAGAACATGTGCATTGTTAGGTAACTGTAGGAAAATAACTATTGCGTTTCATCCTGATTACATTTTAAGCTTATTCGCTGAAAACCAAACAGAAGCTAGGTTTATATGGCTGCATTGGTCATTGTATTTAGACTATGAATGTCTTTATGAGTGGCGATTAGTGTAGTATCGTCTGCATATATTACAGAGTCAATCCCAACATTTCGAGGCAAATCATTGATACATATATTATAAATAGAAATGGTCCAAGTACCGAGCCCTGTGGAACACCGTCCAGAGACCACGTCTTTTAGGCCAGATTGCATCTCACCATCTGAAACATACTGCTTTCTATTACTTAAGTACGAATGAACAAAACCTAACTGCGTGCATCCTCAATGCCATAAAATTTCAGTTTACTGAGCAAAATGTTATGAGGAACATAATCAACAAGCTTTTGTGAGGTCAAACAATGTGAGAGAAACAATTTCTTTGTCCTCAAAAGCATTTATTGTTTTATCAATGACTTTTAGAACTGTAGAAGCAGTTGACTTTCCTTCTCGGAATCCGAATTGCGAATCTGTCAATATATTATTGTTTACAAAGTGCCTATTTAATTGTTTATAAACCACCGATACAAGGATTTTTGAGAAGATTGGGTCATTAGATATTGGTCTATAATTTTGAGGCAAAAGTTTTCCCTGTCTTGAACACTGGTATTTATTAGTTTAACAGTTTCCTTGTAGCAGCAAACCTAGGTACTCGTTACACCTAATGTTATTGTATGGTCGCCATTTCATAGAACAGTATTAACAATATTAACAGTATTTAAATAAATTTAATTGAAAGTCATTAAGAGAAATGAAAAATCGCTTAGTCGGCAGGTTTGCTGCGGCGGGGGTGTTGTTAAATAAGCGTCTGTCAGTTCTGCTTGTTTGCATAAAAAGTCTTATTTCATTTTAGTTTTATTTAAAAACTAACAAAATTAATTATTTTTTCCAATTTCTATATCTGACCAAAACGTAAATTTACGGGGGCAAGATTCTGGGGGGTAAAATTCCGGGCCGTACATTTTTAGTTGCCTAAACCCTAGTTATATGAAAAGGGGTTAATATTATTACGGCTTTTATTGCTAATCTAGTTGCCAAGGGTACATTTATGATTAGTTAACTTAGACCTTTTGTTAGTATAGATGTATTGAAATCCATTTATTTTGCTCACATTCAAAGTCATTTGTCTTATAGTATTGTTGTGTGGGGCCATTCTGGTAGTATTAAAAAGCTGAAACTGTTGCAAAAGAAAGCTGTTAGGGCAATATTCAATGTTGACAGTGAAACACATTGTAAGCCATTATTCAAGAAACTTGGAATTTTAACTGTCACTTCTCTGTACATTTTAGATTGTTTACTGTATGTTAAAAATAATATTAGAGATTTCCCTACAAATGATTCAGTTCATAACCATTTTACCAGACAAAACACTCCGTCCAAACCAATGTAGTTTTATGACCACAATCAATAACTTTAGTGAATTTGGCAAAAGATTGTATAATATGTTACCGGCTCACATTAAATGTCTTGAAATACGACAATTTAAATTTACTAATAGAAAGATTTTGTGTGATTTATGTGTGTATAAGGTCAAAGAATTTTTAGAACATATTAAGTAGGTTAATGGATATACTGTGATGAAATTGTATGACGTTGCTATACATGTATCTATAATGTTGATGGCAATAAATGGATTTGATTTGATTTGATTTGATTTAACACGCTCTGAATATTTTAATTCGACTCCCAAATCCGCGGGGGTAAAATTCCGCCCGCGAACAAACCAAAGAGTGCTCAGATGATGACTACGTCATAGTGACGTCAGCTATGATGCTCAGGGGGTAATATTTGTGACGACCCCAAAAATTCCCAGACTCATTACATATCAGCTCAGGAGGTTTTTCGATAGACCCTCAAGAAACCCTCTCACCGTCACAAAAGCTTTGCTTTATTTCAAATATAAAAGGAGGGTCAGTAATATTGAATTTAACCTCCCTTAGTTTTAAACTCCCAACTTCTGGAGGTACATGATAGTACGAAATAAGTAGGCTATACCATAGATAAAACATACTTAGTCTATGGCTATACTAAATAGTAGCATAGGCTATAGCTTACAGGTTGAGACGTGACTGCGGGCTGAGGGGTCATTGGCAATTTCAATGAAAATTATTAAAGACCTCTACAATCTACGCGCCTTTTAACTTGGTTATCTTTTAAGTACACATTTTTAAATTGAGGTACAAAATAGTACGAAATAAGTACTATATAGTAGCATAGCTTATAATTACACGTAACGAAATGGGCGGGCTAAAGGGACATTGACCTCTACAGTACAATTTACATGCCTTGGTTATGTGTAAAAATTGTGTATTTGGAGGTGCAATGGTGCAAAATGTACGAACTAGGTACTAAGTCAATGGGACTACATGATGGTATACAAATTAGTAGTTCCTTAGCAAACCATAAGGCCAATGTTAAATTTTTTAATTTACAAATGAGTCTGTGAAAGTGCACGGCTGCCTTTAAACTACAGGCCTCGGCCTGGTAGAATTGGCAACGTCACAAGTGGTGTTGTTCAGTGACACACGTCCCATAAGATAACATGGCAGACAGGTGACATCAGCTCATTAATTCGCACTTTATTGATTTAAATTTAAATTTATGAACATAAATTTATTAAAATATTGAAAATAAAACAAACAGAATTGAAAACCGAAACAATATGAATTAAAATCTATATCTGTACATTTTTAAGCGGAGTCAATATTGTCATAGTCCAGTAACCAATCGTAAGTACACAAATACCAAATACCATTAGCTGCTTCAAAAAAAAACAGCTGTTACAACACCACTTGCGACGTTGCCAGTTCGAAGGCCGCGGCCTGGAGTTAAAGGTGGCCGTGGAAAGTGGGACATAAAATAATCTATGCTTTACATCACCACTAGAAATTCTCAGCACTCTCCTATTTTATTACTCCAGCGTCTTGCTCACAATTTTCCCGCTACAACAATTTACAACAACAGTAGTAACATAACATAACATAACAGAAACAGATTTTCATTTTATTTTAGAATTTATTAATTTAGTAGCAGAGCCTCTAGAGGGTTATGTTTAGGATTTTTTAGGACTACGAGTAAGTAATAATTAATTAAATAAGTCCAAAGACAAGACATTTAAAACAAAGACTCGTCTGACATTTCTTTGCTTCTCCTACTTTTACTTTTATTTATTTTATCTCAAGTTTTTTAGGCCTACTCAGTTTTTATCTCAAGATAGGCTATGTCCAAGAAGGAACATAAACTAAATCTACCTTGGTACGTACATCCTGTTTTTATAAAGTTGTCAATTAAATATAGGTATGCCTAAAGCCGGGTTTACACTAAGTTATGTAGCAAAACCTGCTATAAGGTATACCCCATTGGGCTGCACTTTACTTTAGGTCCTACACTCATTTAAATGAAAATATCGATTATTCGATATATTGTTTGGTTAGTTTAACCTTACCTAACTAACCAAACGATATATCGATCGATATTTTCATTCGAATGAGTGTAGGACCTAAAGTAAAGTGCAGCCCAATGTTAGGCTATATAACATTTGCCAGAAGTAGAAAAAGTAACTTTAAAAAAATGTTATATAACACTGCTAAGTTATATGTAGCAGATCCTGCCTAATACAGATGCCTACAGCAGATCCTGTAATACAGGCCTAGCAAAAATTGTGCTATCCATCGGGAGTCGGTAAGATCAAAAGAAATACGTGCTACATCTAACATTGCTAGGCTAGGCTATATGTAGCAATGTTATACAAATATTTTTTGTCTAGCATCTGCTATAGGCCTAAGAATTATTTAGTGTCATCAGTGCACAGTTGTAGCACAGACAATGGAAAAGTATTATATTGTCTGTGGTTGTAGCCTCCTGCGGACGTTTTTGCTCAGCAATTTTTGTTTAAATGGAAAGACTGGAAAGTGACAGTGCGTAGGATCGAGATGCAATTATGAACCTAATTGAACTGTTCCGTGGACAACTGGCGTTTTGGTCATACGTAAAACGTTTTTGAAGCTATCATCGCATTATTTCGAGTTTTAATTATGGATCGCCAGCGTGATCGTCATCATTAAGGTCCCATAATATATCAGCTACACTGTACTTATTTCTTGAAGCAAGAAGCGGTCAATCGTAAAACTTGATAAAACCTTCGCTTCCGCCTCTGACTTCCTAAGATCACTGTGATAGCTGCCACGAGCAATGTCTCTTCGTCACGACATTTCGATACGGAATGCGAATGAGTTTGTGCTACATATAACATATAGCACAAGCACCAGAATCACACAAATTTTCTGTAACTTTTTTATATAGCAATGTAAGCAAAAGTTATAACTTATAACTTAGCCTACTGTATAGCAAAAGTTATAAAGCAGGTTTTGCTACATAGTGTAGGCTCCTAAACCCGGCTTAATAACAAAACTGAGCACACTAACAGGTTAGCGTATTTCTTTAGGCATATTTTTAGTAAAATTGATTATCCAGCCTTCATTAACTTGCATGTGATATTATCACATTAATTGTGATTATTCTTAGATCTGTAACCCATAAGGATAATTTAATTAAATTAATTCAATATTTTCTTACTGAAAAGAGACTAGTTATCATTAGGCCTGTCTAACAATTATCAAGGCCTATGTCCTAAAACTGCATTTACACGAGACCAGTAGGCCTAGGGAGGTGGAGGTAATGGGGTAAAATTAAGCTAGGCTTACCTGCCCACCAACTGGCTTTGTGTAAATTCAGCTCGGTCTAAGTTATAAGGAACAGATTGCCACGTCTATTTTGTCACCAGTTGTCTACCCATTTGTAAACATACCACTTACCATAATGTATCTTTACGCTCAGTGGTGTTGTGTGGCAGACACGGGAACGGCATCCCCACTCTATTTTTTTTTCAAGAATCCTATATTTTCAATTGTATATGTTAACTTGTAGACTACCTAGACACCATTGGTAACGCCTAAGGATGAAACAAAGTGGGAGCATGTCCTGCCAGGACAAATTGATAATCATTTTTCTGGGGAGACAAAAATTAATTAAACCTCAATCATTTAAATTTTTAAAGTTGTGTTTAGGAACATTGATCTGTACTTCAATATTTAGGTACACACTAAAATCTTAGTTAATAGCCTAATTCACATTTATTGATTGATTGTACATGTGTATTTAATTTTAAAGAAAAATTACACTCACAACCAACTCTTGAAAAGGTAAATACGTTAGGTACTTTCATATTATACGGAGGCCACTTATTTTAAAGGCATTTTTTTACTGGAGACCAAAAATAACTGGAAAAAACGTACCCTACACTCTAATTGACTTAGGGTACTGTCCAAATTTGACATGATTTATAAGCGACCTTTGAGTTCTGCCTCCCAGAAGGCTGCGATGTCGGCGAGGATAGAGTTGAATAGGTCGCTGCTACATTTACTCCGCCAAGCTGGGTTATCATAAAAAATATGTTTGTAGGACTTTAACTTACTCGTTTTGTTATGAATCGAATGATACTAGATGAGTCATCACTCAGGTCAGGATACTGACTCAGATACAGGTGATGCGCAGGCTCTGGTCAACGACCTGCTTTTAACCTAGGCCTACTTGGAGGGGATTTGGCAGGCGAAAGTATGACTCATCTGGTATCGTTCGATTCATAATGAAACGAGGAAATCCCTACAAACATATTTAAGATAACCCTACCTAACATAACCGCCGCAGCACGCTGTATAAGGGTGGCCTCCGTATATTATGATAGAACCTACGTTAATTTAAGTACCTATAGGCGTGAAATAGGCTGTTTTTGATCAAAATTTAGATTAATTTTTAAACATCTTTAGGTCGGACATATTTCATCTGGACTTGATTACGAGACAGACAGAAATAATGATGCAAGCATTTTTGAAATTATTAAGTTTATTTATTATGATTAACCCACTATTTCAATAGTGCAAAAACAGTCTGGAGGTAACATATAAATCAACAACAATGTTCATTATAACTTTAACTTTACCTTCCTAATCTAATCTTACTTCAAAACACTTAATACAGTCATGGATCTGTATAAAGCATGACCTACCATCCTCACATGCCTAAATAAGACTGATTAGTTTAATAACCAATACTCAGTGGCACAAATGCCTTTAGGCCTACCGGTACTGCTTTTTCTTATTGTTCTAAGTTTCTTCTTATCTTCCTCCATCAATCCTTAGTTTGTAATTTGTTTACAAATTATAGTAAAAGGCAATAGAGACAAGCAGGCAAAAATCCCAACAAAATAATAAAACATCTGTCTTTGTAAACTACTTCTCTTTAAATAAAACTCTGCTTTTAACAAAAATAATTCCTTGTATTTTAACTGACAAAATCACAAACTGAATACATTACAACAAGTAAACAAACATTGTAAAAACAATAAGGCCGGCCACACACAGAACCAGGCGGGTCGGGGCGCGACAGGGCACGACGAGACGCCTGACTTAAGCCCTGTCTTGTTGTTGTCACACACAGAATGAGGCAGGGCACGTCAAGTAAAAAGTTTAGCCCCCATAAACCTGAAAATTAATATAGGATTTTTTATTTCTGAGCCTTAAGCCGATTTAGCCAACTTTTAAATTTGACTTTATACTTGGGGGAGAAGAATAGAAAACAAAATTAAAACAGTCATACCTCCAGAGGAGTGGTTTTTGAAACCCTTAAGATATGAACGTTGGCCCTCTCTTTCCTCAGTCATCAATACCAAGATAAATTATTAGTTATTCAACCACTGTAGTAATATCATCACTGCATAGTCTTATCAAAGGGTGTAATCCATGGTCATATAAATTGTTACAGTCTAGTATGTAAATTGTATCAGTTGTAAAATAAACCTTATCAAAATTAGCCCTTAAGGGAATAAATCACATGACCGCGCATGCGCAGAAAGTTCTGCCCGGCAGCGACTTGCCTCAGGGCATAATTTTGGAGAGCTTCACATTTTGCCCTGTGGGCGCCCAGGGGCATCTTTTTGACGTGCCCTGCCTTGCTCGGTCCTGTGTGTGGCGCTCCATAAGCGCCCGTGCAATTCCCGTCGTACAAGACGCCCCGGGGCAAAATGCCCTGTCGCGCCCCGCCCCGCCCGGTTCTGTGTGTGGCCGGCCTAAACCATATGTTATAGGCCTAATTTACTTAAAAACCTTTTGTTCATTTGCAGACTAAATAAAAAATTATTTCAATATCCCCCCTTTTTGTTTAGGCTGAAAATCACAAACAAACACCAATCTTACTACACAGTACCTATTTTAAAACGTCCAGGTTTCAGAGGTTACTCTTGTAACTTTTATAGTTCCATCAAGTACTTTCTCACGAACAAAAAAATGCCGCTCAATGTGCTTTGTTCTTTTATGAAACTCAGGATTTTTCGATAAACGAACAGCTGCCTCATTATCAACATAAATAATGGGCTTCTCATTCATGGTTGTCAAACTTTTGAATATTCTATAAAGCCATACTGCTTCCCTAGTTGCTTCACTAGCTGCAACCATCTCTGCTTCTGTTGTTGATATGGCAATGGATGATTGTTTTTGACTCAGCCAAGTGACTGGTCCTCCCGCATAGAAGCTGATTACTCCTGTAGTTGACCTTCTAGTTGCCATATCACCTGCAAAATCAGCATCACTATATATGGTTAACTTTTTTATTCTCAGGCTGCTTGTCATATTTTATTCTATAGTCCATTGTACCTTTTAAATAGTGCATAATTTGTTTCACCATATCCCAGTGTTCAGAAGTATGACAGTCCAAGAATCTTGAAACATATGAAATAGCAAATGCGTTCCTATATCAGGTCTAGTTCCACAACATAAATACATTAATGCTCCAACAGCTTGCCTATAAGGAGCCTTTGTTGCCTCTGCCTTTAGTTCAACTTCTTTTCCTATCTGTAAGTTTTCCAAACCAGTTGGAGTTCTTCCAGGGTTACAATAGTACATGTTGAACTTATCTAACAGTCTCTTTGTGTAGCCTGCTTGACTAAGAGTAATTGAACCATCTTGTTCCTTCAAAATTTCAAGTCCCAAGAAGTGTGAAGCATTCATGGTTTTGATCTTGAACTTGATCTTCGTCCAATCTAACCGAGACACCTAAATTTTGCTGAATTACTTCACTAACATGTTTCTTGTTCTGATGCCCAAATCTTTCATGATACAACTGAAGCAAGTTGGATTTATTCGTGCCTACAGTATATACCTCATTACAAACACGTTTCAATTTTAAGTTCAATTTAAATAGGC